CCCTACACCTTCTTTGCCATCTAATATAATAGTGAAAATATAATCATATATAATTAAATTATGAATTGTATTCTATAACTAATTTAATACATATCATAAATTATGGTTAATAAATACGAAAGGATACATAAAACATATTTATTTATAGCCTTTGTATAATCTGCTTGTTCCAAGTATGATATCACTTCAACAGCAGGTTGTCTAATTAAAATACCAATTTCCTGAAAAATTTTTGCTTGCTTCTTTAAATCAGATGATAGATTTCCTTCTATTACTTTTTCAATATCTGGAGATATTCTGTAAATTTGATTTAAACAACTTTCATCATGTTCTACAGGATTTGAATTCTTAGTAAAAATTGGTGAAATATTTGTATCTTGTGTTTCTTTTAGGACAGCTATTGACAATGTTCGTTGACTACTTCTAATGCACAGTTTGCTGAATAAAGAACCTAATTATGTAAAAAAAATAAAAAAGACAATAATTAGAACATTCTTTAAATTACAATTACAATATTTACATAACATGTAAATATTAACAAATGTAACAAATTATTAACAAATATATATTAGAAAAAATACAGACTTAATTTCTGTATAAATGACACATACATGTATTAGCTAACATATTGTTGAAGTATTATATAGATAATAAAAATGTCGTTTTTAATTAAACTAAGTAAATATTTATAAACACGCACACATCGTTAATAACAAAAAACATATATCTATATTACTGTAGTGTTCAGAAATCTACTAATATTCGATTCAAAGAGATATCCAAAATGTTCCTATACAAATTAGATGTACACGATAGTTTTCTATTTTATGCGATTACTTTCATATGAAGTTTATTTTTATTAGCTTATAGTACTATGTTAATTGTATGTTTATAAAAATAAGGTTTACTTATATTTTCATACTACGAAAAATGTTATTCCTAAATGTCATTTCTTAATTCTAGGGATATATCAAAAGTAGACTCATTGTAAAATCAAACTATAAATTTACATATAATCGCGTAACAATTTAGTAAGTTTTATAAAGTAAATAAGTACAGAATAAGGTAAAAATGAATTTAGAATTATTAGGTAAATATTTATAATAATATTTATTTGAAAATTTGATTCTATAAGCTTTTTAATATCTTTTCTCCTTTTTTAATAGAATCATTTGGTCAGAATTATCCAGAGGTAAATTTTTTTTTATAAATATAACAGATATTTTTTAATTCTGCATCTTACAGATATAATGTTTATAATCAATAGGAGTTTGACGGCACATTGGATTGCATATCATTAGCAGTTACTTGTACATTTAATAAAAGAGGAACTCTTCTTGCTGTTGGATGTAATGATGGTAGGATTGTTATTTGGGATTTTTTAACTCGAGGTGTTGCTAAAATTATTAGTGCTCATGTACATCCTGTATGTTCATTGAGGTCAGTGACTTGACATAATTTATCATCAATATATTTCAATTACTTTTATTATTACTTTTTATTAATTAGCTGGTCTAGAAATGGACATAAATTATTAAGTGCATCTACAGATAATAATGTTTGTATATGGGACGTCTTATCTGGAGAATGTGATCAAAAATATAGATTTCCTTCTCCAATATTGAAAGTTCAATTTCATCCAAGAAATCTTAATAAATTTTTAGTATGTCCAATGAGACATGCAGCAGTAATGGTTGATGTTGAGGGTACACACAGAGTTATACCTCTTGATGATGATGTATGTAAATAAGTTTAATATTATTACTTAATATTTTTAATATTTACCTCTTTATACTTTTTTCTTTCAGAGTGATTTGAATATTGTAGCATCTTTTGATCGTCGAGGAGATTATGTATATACTGGAAATGCTCGTGGTAGAATTCTGGTTCTTGATGCAGATTCCTTGATTGTGAAAGCTTCATATAAAATATCACAAGGCACAGCTAGTAATACAGCCGTAAAGAGTATTGAATTTGCTAGGCGTGGTTCTTGTTTCTTGGTGAATACATCGGATAGGGTAATTCGTGTATATGACAGTACCGAAGTATTAGCATGTGGAAAAGATGGCGAACCTGAACCAATACAAAAGTTACAAGATCTTGTAAATAAAACCATGTGGAAGAAATGTTGTTTTTCTGGAGATGGAGAATACGTTTGTGCAGGCTCAGCAAGACAACATGCTTTATATGTATGGGAAAAAAGTATTGGAAATTTAGTAAAAATTTTACATGGAACCAAAGGAGAATTATTACTTGATGTTGTTGTAAGCAATTAATTTATACATTAATCAAATAAAAAAGTATACTAAATTACAATAGTATTACATAATAATATTATTGAAATGATGTAGTGGCATCCAGTAAGACCAATTATTGCTTCTATATCATCTGGTGTTGTTTCTATTTGGGCACAAAACCAAGTTGAAAATTGGTCTGCATTTGCACCAGATTTTAAAGAATTAGATGAAAATGTTGAATATGAGGAAAGAGAAAGTGAATTTGATTTGAGTGATGAAGATAAATCTGTGGTACAAGGTGAAGAGGCTCAAGATGAGGAGATAGAAGTAGATGTTGCATCTATAGATAGAGTGGCTGCTTTTTGTAGTTCTGACGAAGAAATGGAAGATATTGGTTCATTACAGTTTTTACCTATATCGCCAGATGTAGAAGATTCTGAAGATAATCAAACAACACTGCATGAACCCCCTATGAAAAAACATCGTTCTCACGATATACATTTACAGGGTGCACCAGTGGATGGTAAAATTTTTTATTTGTGTTAATGTAATTAATAGATTTGTTCAATTTATCAATAATATTTTTAACTTCAGAAACCCATCCATTACTAAATAAAGGAAAGGATAAACCAACAACTAAGAAAGGAAGACCACGATTGGAACACAGAAAGGGAAAATAATTTTGGATATATTCCTTGTTTATATTAGTATAAAATGTACTTTATCATTTACAAAATAACTAAAAGTACTTTAAATATGTTATCAACTGCGATAATATTTTATAGTCATGATATATGCTATAAAATGCATTACTTCCTATGGAATGTATTTCATACCTTATTCAGTCTTACGTGTTTTTATATTGAAAACCTGTCTTAACATTTTAGACATTTATTATATGTATTTAAATAAGTAAAGTTCTAAATTTTATATGCACCATTAAATAAACAATTTAATATATTATGTAAATCATTTAACTACCTCTTTACTATAATTTAACAAAACAGAGTAATTATAGTTCGCACGAGAAATACAGTACGCTCGTAAATTGTATTATACGACGGCTTTGATAGATGCGAAAATAACACCGTTGAAGTTGTCGAAACTCAAGCTCATCTAGAGTTTCTAGCTACAGTTATTTAACACCAAACAATAAAGTAAAAAATATTGTCGATTGACTTGGAATCTCGACTCAACTTCATTGCTACTATTAATATCTATCAGTTTTGTAGATATTAATATTTCAAATATTTAAAAGAACTTTAACTTTTCGTAAGCTACCCGTAGAATATCCGGCAATAGAACGTCCGATACCAAATTGTTATCGTTCGATACAGTGCAACTTGATATTAACTTGTATTTTACTACTAAATTATTTTAAAGGAAAAATAATTGATCGATAAATGGTTTATCATACTTTACGTAGCAATTTCTAAAAATATAATTAAAATTGAGCAATATTTGAACTAATTTACAACATCAAGTACTTATATTAAATTTCGTTTGCAATGTTAATTTCGAGGTTACTAGAAGAAATCCATAAGAAATTGTTTCATGTTCAGAAAAGAACGAAAAGAAGCGTACAATCTGCGAGAAACGTACTTTTAAGTGGTGGAATTATTATTATTAGTGAAATCTTCATCATTTGGTTATCTGTGTTTCTTTATACAGCATTTTACTATGCTTATGTACCGAGCGTCTCATATGTACGACCAGTACATTTACAATTCGTGTGAGCTTTATTTTCCACTTGTACGTTAATGAAAAAAAGAAAGAGATCTTATAGCATATTGCTTTTTGTCATTTAGCATTATGTTATATACATTTTAGGTATAAAGCTTGATTATATAATTTTTATATGTTACAGCACATGTAATGAACCAAAAGGAATGTGCAGTTTTCCAGCAGCAAAAGTGCAGTTAACAAATAAACAACAACTTTTAATGGTTGGTCAACCATATAAAGTTAATTTGCATTTAGAAATGCCAGAGTCACCAGTCAATAAACAACTTGGTACTTTCTGAGTTTCTTTTGATCAAAATACAAAATAACATTTAATAAATATAGTTTTTAAATAGGTATGTTCATGGTTTGTGCTGAGCTACGCAACAGGAATGACATTATTCTAGGACAAGCATGTAGATCTACCATGCTACATTATCGTAGTTCATTATTGCAAGCACTCACAACACTTACATTTTCACCAATGATGATTTTTGGCACTACAGAAGAAAAACAAAATGTAGTTCTTGAATTATTTGGTAATTTTGAAGAAGATCAAAATCATCCAGTTACAAGTATTTATGTTGAAGTGAAATCAAAGCATATTGAACTTTACTCTGCAAGTATTATGATAAATGCACACTTATCGGGTCTACGTTATTTAATGTTTCATTGGCCAATTCTATCTGGTATTATTGGTATTGGAACAAATTTGTTTTTCATAACACTTGTGTGCACTCTTTC